AACAAGAACAACAAGAATTATAATAAGAACTATTATTATTATTATTATTATTATTATTATACAAAAGCACGCCACATGGTTTTGTAGTTAAATATTATTATTATATCTTTGAATAATAGCTTGATAGTTTGATATTATTTAATAAAATGTATTTAAAAATCATGCTACAAAAACTTGGGTTTGAAATAACAACAATCATTATAATAATAGCTATTATGATTGTTATTTTTATTATTATTATTATTATCCAAAAGCATTGCCACTTGGTTTGGCAGTTAAATATCATTAGATCTTTGAATAATAGTTTGATAATATTTATTGAAATGTATTAAAAATCAAGGTACAAAAAAACTTGGGTTTGAAATATTAACCTATATTTGCATATCAACAATGCCAATTTGGAACTATCTGAAAAGTAGGTGTGAACACATTATAAATCAGCTTGACTCATGAATATTAATTTGTGACATTTGCCAGTAGAAAATAAACAGAAATAAACAGCCTGATTAATAAGACATTGTAAAATGGTCATGAAAAAAATCTTCACTAACAATATACAGACAGTGAAACCTTAGAAGGAAAAAAATGACCCCTTGAAATCGTCTTGTTTTGATGTCTTGTCTAGAAGTATCTGTGGTTGTTCACCATGCATAGACAGAAGCATCAGAGTTAATGTCAGAGAAATGTCAACACTGACTGATTTATGTTGATACGGAGGCTCTCACTGTCAGCGCGTGACAGCCAGACCTTTTCTAAACTCTGTCTAACATGAAGCTGTCAGCAGCAATCTGCAACTGACGCTTTCCTGCCTCTGCTGTTTTATTAGGACGAGAACATTATGAGCTCCATGCAGCTGTTTGAGAATGTCATCTAGAGCGCAGCATGAAGTGCAGAGTGATCCTGGCTCTTTTTCCACATCGACTCTCAGCATCGTTCCATTAGTCCTCAAGCGCTCCACAGGGACTCTCTAGAAACACTTGTGTTTTGTACCTAGGCTTTGCACATCATCTGTAGCATGTGAATGAATATGTTGATTGACTGCATTGAATGCTTTAACAAAAGGATGTGGGCCGTCTGCGTGTGTCTCAGTTTAATCTTCAGCATTCAAGACCGGCTGTAAATGCTCATTTGTATATATGTAGATATATGTGTGCTCTTAAACTGATTTCTGCCTAGATAAATGAACTTTTGCATGTTTGCCTGCTATTTGTCTTTTTTTTTTTACAAAGAAATAAAGGCATCTGTGAATTAATCCATGATGTGCATATGTCGGTATATATGGGATACTGTAAAAAAAATGTATTGATTTATTTATGTATTATTTCAGATAATTTAATAAGTACATTATGCAAAATTCAAACAAAAATGTATTTATTGATTGATTTATTTCTTCCATTTATTTCAAGTTCAAGGGTGTGACAGTTTTTCTGTTAAATAAATATTGTTAAGTAATTAAATATACATTTTCACAAAGAGAGACAAAAACATCAGAGATTTGCACTAGTCAAGTGCTAATCCAGACAAATATTTAATTGTTTAATTATTACTTTAAAATCTTTTTATGTTTGTTTATTCTTTTTATTTATTTAATTTAGAAGTAATGGGATTAAAATTCATACATTTATTTACTATATTCAATGGTGTGGCACAGTATATTAATACTGATCAATTAGTACAAATACTAATCCAGACATTTATCTATTTTTTTACTTGTTTTAATTGGGAAGTAATGGACTTAAATTCATACATTGTCAAACATTAAGTAATTACATATACATTTTAACAAAGAGAGAGAAATTACTACTATTATTAATCCAGCAGCAATCGTCACTATTTATTTTTAATTATTTATTAATAATATTATTAATCCCTATTATTTATTCATTCCTCCATATATTTTCCATGACAAAAAAGGGAACAGGAAAAAAAAGTAATTAAATGTACCTTTTAACACAGAGTGGCATAAACATTACAGGTTTGCATTAGATAGTTTGATATTATTCATCTTACAAAATTAAATGTGGCTTATTGTTAATTGCTATGTAAACAGTATCCCAGTGACCAAAAGATCATGAATCAATTTGTAATTATAATAGCATCCACAAGATGGCAATGCTGTGCTCAAACCTGCTTGTTACCAGAGGAACAGATGCAAGTTCAAGTGAAAGCAGCCATTGCATCAATTCCTTCATTCCTTCTCTCTCTCGCTTTATCTTTTTGATTGAGCTTCACTCTGGTTTATGAGTCGAAACATACAGTGTGCATACAGTAACACTGATGCCATTCACATCACAACCTATAAAGCTTCCTATTTTTCTGGGTCACCTGGCTTCCTCAAACACACAGAAACAACTCACTATTATATTAAACATGTGCCTCCTCAGAATAAAAGTATTGTATTTTGAGAAAGAAACGCACTTGGTTGAGATTTCAGAAAAACAGTGGAGAAATTAGGCCTTGACACACCCAACACTCACAGTAGTGAGATTTTAAAGATACTAATATACATGTTTACATGATGCATATTTCTGTTCATTTTATTTCTTTGGTAAGCACATGTTTCTGTTAAATCAAGGACATTATGTGTTCACTAGTCTTGCATTCATGGGACGGTGTGTTAACATCTGCCCCAATGGACAATCCACAGGCCTGTTTATGTGCTCGACCAAGCATACTTCCTGTCTGGCCCAGCAAATCATCTGAACGTTGGTTATCTATGCTAGTAATTATCTTGGCGTGCATGTTAAATTGTGGTTGGGGGCAGAGTGTGCATATCTGCGGCGTATGGGAGGAAGTCTGACCCAAAATAGCTGCGACTTCCTGACTGAACGTTTGCAATGAGGAAGAGTCTTACAGGGAGGGGCAAAGACTCCTTTAGCTTGTCAACGGCACGCTCTCATCCGCGGCACAGCTGTTTTCATGCTGACCAGATGACTTCCAAGACTTCCATGTTTGCTGACTGGTGCAGTCGCATTATCTGATGTCTGTGCCCAGAGTCTGAGTTATTTTCACTGACTTTGCTGGATTCTCCCACGTGCTGCTTGAACAGTAAGTCACCTGCTTTGTCATCTTGACCTTTACAGGTACATTATCAAATATCAGTTCAGATAAACTGACTTAAAATGGATGAGATGTTGGTTTAAAACTTGAATTCAGCTCTCAAATAAAGGTTTCAAAAGGGTTTTCCACAGTGATGCCATTGACGCATTCTCAGTGAGCCTTTCAGTGAACAGTTCTGTGCGTGAAGAACATTTAAAAAATCTAAAGAACCTTTTATGTAATTGAAAAGTTCCATGGATGTAAAGGGATATCAGCCAAAACTTCAAATTCTGTCATTGTTTACTCACCCTCATGACGTTCCAAACCTGCATGTAGAACATGAATGAAGATATTTTGAAGAATAAACAACTTAAAATACTATGGAAGTCAATGGTAACCGTATCTATTTGGTTACCAACATTCTTTAGAGTATCTTCTTTTATATTCCACAGAAGGAAAAAAGTCAGGTTTGGAACAACATGAGATGATGACCGACCGAGTTTAAATTTTTAGGTGAACTAAATAACTCTGCTAAATAAATAACTAAATGTAACTATTACTGTAAAGGTTCTTCATTGAATCATATGTGACCTTGGACCACAAAATCAGATCTTATAAATATGATCTATGGTTTGTTAGGATAGGACAATATTTGGCTGAGATACAACTATTTGAAAATCTGGAATCTGAGGGTGCAAAAAAATCAAAATATTGAAAAAAATCGCCTTTAAAGTTGTCCAAATGAAGTTCTCAGTACTGCATATTACTAATCAAAAATTACATTTTGATATATTTACAGTAGGAATTTTACAAAATATCTTCATGGAACATGATCTTTACTTAATATCCTAATGATTTTTGGCATAAAAGAAAAATCTATTATTTTTACCCATACAATGTATTGTTGGCTGCTGTTACAAATATACCTGTGCAACTTAAAGGGGTCATATGATGTTGCTAAAAAGAACATTATTTTGTGTATTTGGTGTAATGAAATGTGTTTATGCAGTTTTAGGTTAAAAAAAACACATTATTTTCCACATACTGTACAATATTGTTTCTCCTCTATGCCCCGCCTTTCTGAAATCATCGATTTTTACAAAGCTCATCGTTCTAAAAAAGCGAGGTGTGCTCTGATTGGCCAGCTATCCAGTGCGTTGTGATTGGCCGAACACCTCAAGCGTGAAACGGAAATGTTACGCCCCTCACCATACTGTGATGCCGTATCCTGGCCGGAGTGATGATTCAAAAACATGAAAACCCATTATATACGAGGCATTCGTTGCATCCAGTGGGGACATAATTATGGATTATAATGACTTATACTGTCTTTTTACGCGTTGCGTTGCATCGTGCCGCGTAAGCATAAAACCATGTCTGTATTTGTGATCGGAGAAATAACAAACAACAAGTGCTACTCTACACTGCTCAAAAAACTTGCTTTAAATATATAAAATATAAAAACTCTTTAAATATAAAAAACATACTTACAGTCTTTGAGTCAGAACAGCCGGCATTGTAGTCTACTCTTCCAGCATCAGTAAACAGTCCTCCATAATATGTGCTGCACACATCTGAATATTTGGGTTGAAGTGCTCTGGAACAGTGATGTAAATACAACTTAACTACTGATTTCTAGTCGTGTCCATTTTTGGAAAGCCAAACAAAGTAGTTTCGCTTTCACAACGAACCACAGCGTCAACCACATGTGACGACCCCGGGCTGGACTCCGATCATCCACGGTGAAAGCCGATCCGGCGATCCACAGCGCCAAGTTGTATTTCCTCAGCGACCAGCACGGATCAGCTCCAGGCATGACGAAGCAGATAACGTCCTCTTTTGGAAGGCCAAACAAAGTAGTTTCGTTTTCACAACAAAGCACACACCGCCTTCACGACATGGCGGCGGCGGCGGCAACAACAATACTACAGCGAGAATAAAAGTTACGCCTTCTTAGCACGTTAGTAAGCCCTTTTGCTCACAGTTGTTTCTGTCAAACAGACGGCAGTTTTTACGCCTAAGTTCGGCTCTGTGACCAACGTCCGCGTCAACAGCTGCATGACGACAGCACAGGTCATGCGGTTGCTGCTCAACAAGTTCAAGATTGAGAACAGCCCGGATGAATTCAGCCTTTATATCGTCCACACCAGTGGAGGTACGTCCGAACTGGAATGAAATGTGTCATAGTATTCTTGTCTTTGTCCTTGAGTTCATATTCCTCTCCCTGCACTCAGAGAGACATCAGCTGAAGCCCAATGACCATCCTTTGGCGCTCAGAGTTTTGCAAGGCCCTTGTGAACAGGTCAGCAAAATGTTCCTAATGGAGACGGACCAGGTGGAAGAGGTCACCCATGATGTAAGAGACCAAATATCACACTGGCTATCTATATATCCTACCTACCCAAACTGCTTGTCTTATGTGGGGCCAAGTCACTCAAAATTAAATAATTGAATGAATATTTATATATTTAAATAAATCGGTAAGCACATAACTAAATTGTTAATAAAACATAGAATTCATAAATGAAGTATTAAATCTCCAAACAAATTAGTACATGTCCATTTTATTTCATTTTAGCATCATGTTGCATTTATTTTAAGCGTTATCTTTGAATTGATGCTTACTTTTTCTCACAATTCTTTCTCTGAACAGCAGTATTTATTTATTTGTTTGTTTGTTTGTTTGGAAAAGTCACGAATGCATTCAATTCAAAGATAAAGCTAATTTGAAAATGACACAACAGATACGTATGACATTTATTATTTGTTTGGTGATTTAATCATTTATTAATTTAGTTATTTTTATGTGTTCATTAACTGTTTAATTCAATATTTGATTATTTATTGAAATATTGATTAAATGCTGTCATTTGAGTAATTTTGCCTCCTTAGAGGATGCTAGGGCCTTACTTATCTATCTATCTATCTATTTATTTTCCAAGCTTAAAAAATATTTGTTAGATACATTTATTTATATAAATTATATTTTTGTGAAAAAAAACGAATACATATCAAATATATAAAATATAAATGAACATTTTAATTCTAATTTTTCATTTTGTAATGGAATGTCACGCACATTGCATTTTGGGATTAAATATTCTAAGCTATATAATGTGCCTGGTTGTATACTGCACATTTTGGCTGAAGTAGAAGGTCAGAAAAACTGCATACTGAATTCTTACTATTTATTATAGAAATGGTAAGAGTAGCATGTTAGGGCACTGAATTCAGCCAATGTGACAAGTACAAAGTTCAAGTTTGTATGTATATATTTTTGTAATACTTCGTTTTGTCCTCAAGGTGGCACAATACATCAAGTTTGAGCTTCCTGTTTTACAAAGCTTCATTGCTAAGCTGCAAGAGGAAGAAGAAAGAGAGATGCAGAAACTGAAGAAGAGGTACAGACTGAGTCACACGTAATACAGTCATTTGAAATCATTATGGCACTAATTTTTTTCTGTGCCCTTATTTCAGGTACGCAGATATGCGCCGTATCATCAAGAAATACATGCGGTCTTTATCTGATTCAACTAACATTACATGATGAAGCTGTGCAGGCATGTATCACTCGTGAACACAATCCTCAAGGCACCAACAGTAGTGACAAAACAGTGCTGTCTCAGGAAAAGGAACATATTTTTAGTTCAATTGGGCTTTTATTGTCTTCACATAATATATAATATAATAATACAGCAGTATCCAAAGGTACCATGACTTTCTCTAAATAAGCTTCATTGGATAAACCTTACTTAGCCTTCTTTTTTACAAAGGAAAGCAAATGGGTCCAAAAATGTAACATTGTTTGACTTTCACTCATGCACAATGATAATAATAATAAGCCGTAAGAATGGTAATTCAAAATTTGATAAAATGTATAGCCCGTATTGTGTGAATAAATAAAAATAAAATCTTAATGTATTTGCTTTATTTAATTGCAGAATATTTGTAATAATGTTTATTGGTATTAAAAGTATTTAATATCTTATGTTTGTAATGTATTTTACAGTGTATGTGCACATTTTTCCCCTTGATAATAAAAACATTGAAGACAATTACTGAATTCATTTTCAGTGAACCTGCATGCATATTTACCTCAGTAAAAGCTCTCCTAAACTTTTATTGATCCCTTTAGTTGTTCCTAGTATAATACATTTAATACTTCCGATATTTTTTAACATTTGAATGAGTGTATATGCAGTAGAGATAAAAAAAAAAACAGTCCATTCAGCAAGGATACATCTTATGCCACACTACAATAGCCCATAGCTCCACATTGTTAGGCATGACATTTAAAAAGATATATTAATTTTCCATGTGGAATAAAGACTTGTGATCTCTCCTAATGTATTTTATTAATTCCTAAGCAGTGATCTGCTACTGAACTTAATGGCCAGGGATAATAGACACAAGGATAAAATAGAGTGTAGAAGCAATGGGATGTAAATCTGAATAGAAACTGCTTTAAAATGAGTAAAAGCCAGACTAGTACCAGGCTGCAATTCATTCTCTGCTGTGCCTTTGTCCTCGAGTGGGCGGGGCTGTTCAGCATCCCTGATTGGTCATTCGCTGCTGTCGAGTGAGTGACAGTTCCATAAGGTGGTTGTTTACAACATAGAGCAGCTTGTCACAGTAAGGTTGAGCAGTTATATATTAATTTTCCATGTGGAATAAAGACTTGTGATCTCTCCTAATGTATTTTATTAATTCCTAAGCACTGATCTGCTACTGAACTTAATGGCCAGGGATAATAGACACAAGGGTAAAATAGAGTGTAGAAGCAATGGGATGTAAATCTGAATAGAAACTGCTTTAAAATGAGTAAAAGCCAGACTAGTACCAGGCTGCAATTCATTCTCTGCTGTGCCTTTGTTCTCGAGTGGGCGGGGCTGTTCAGCATCCCTGATTGGTCATTCGCTGCTGTCAAGTGAGTGACAGTTCCATAAGGTGGTTGTTTACAACATAGAGCAGCTTGTCACAGTAAGGTTGAGCAGTTCAAGCCAGTGATCAACACTATCACAAGGTAAGATGCTTCTGTTTGTAGCAACAGATGGGGCTTTGATGAGATTTGCAAAATATGGAAGAGAATACATGCTTTAGAACTAAAAACTGAGATGAAGCATTTAATATATCTAATGTAATATATAATGGTGCATTTTGAGATATCCTAAAAATTTTCATTGGTTTAATTTTATTGTTTTTGTATGTTTGAAATAAACATTATGGTATCAACATAAATGTCTGTGTAATTCAATATATTTATGATAATGAATATACATAATATACACTTATGGCACAACAAGTGGGTCATTGTATCAGCAAATGCAGATCGCAGCACTATCGCATTCTAGGTGAGTCTGACAGCTGATACATCATTCAGAGCGTTTGCTTGTTGTCAGTGGTCAGCACTCCTCTTTTGATGTGCAATGGAGCCTATAATTAGATTCAGAGGACTTGTGCCGCTCGCCGCACTGTCATTGTTTGAACAATTATGTTGAAGAAAATAATAATAATAAATGAGCTGAAACAAACATTTTATTTTGATGATAAAAAGGTAGAATATTTAATATATTAAAAAAACATAAAACTTTAAATAAATATTACATGATAATAAAACCGTGTTTGCTTGTTGTCAGTGGTCAGCACTCCTCTTTTGATGTGCAATGGAGCGTATAATTAGATTCAGAGGACTTGTGCCGCCCGCTGCACTGTCATTGTTTGAACAATTATGTTGAAGAAAATAATAATAATAAATGAGCTGAAACAAACATTTTATTTTGATGATAAAAAGGTAGAATATTTAATATATAAAAAAAACATAAAACTTTAAATAAATATTACATGATAATAAAACCGGCTATTTACGGTAAAGTCGTTCCATTTTTTACAGCAGTTCACTGGTCTTACTGTGTGAAAGGGGCTAACGATGTATGTAATTTTTGCAATTGACCTATATATTATGCCTGGTTGAAGGTAAGGTAAATTGGTAGATTGATTTAAATATCAATTTTACTATTTAACATATATTCAAATGTTTTAGCCAAATGTGATGAATGTTAAATTATATTTAATTCATGCTGTGTTGCTAATGGCAGACAGTTCTGCAATTATATGTCACTGTGGATTTTAATTTGGGATTGTATTTTATTTATTTTAGTCAAATGTCATTCAATACAACTGAAACAGCTTTCATTTAAGGGCTAATATTTGCATTCTCTCATACACCTAGAATTATTTGATGCAAACTCTTTTAGCTGAAATGTCGTGGGATGGACAAAATGAAAAATAACAGAAGTGCTTCTGCTGTTTCTTTCATTCCGGTGATGTCATTTAATACTCTTCTGTTGGTTTCAGGGTTTGATGTGTAATTTGGCAGGCATTTTAAAACCTGTCACTGTTTGCTCCTTGTACTGTTTTCAGAGAGTAAATCAATAAATAATTGACTTATTCCTGTCCACTTTCAAAGACAGGTCTTTTTCTGTAGAGCTAGGCAAGTTTTCCTCATCATTTGCCCCAATTATTAGTGGAGTACCTCAGGGCTCTATTTTGGGACCGCTTCTTTTTAACTTATATATGTGCCCTCTGGGGGATATTATCAGGAAGCACAATATTTCGTTTCATTTATATGCTGATGATACGCAGTTGTACCTCCCGCTAAAAGCTGGTGATTCCATTCAACCATTGCTGGAATGTATCTCAGATATTGAAAAATGGTTATCAAATAACATCCTCCAACTCAATGAGAACAAAACAAAAATTATTGTTTTTGGTAACCCAAAAATGAGAATGGATATTATTGAGGAACTGGGCAATCATTACCCCTCCATTTCCTCACAGGTTAGAAACCTGGGCATTATCATAGACTCAGAATTATGTTTGTCCAAAAAACTTAATTCTGTCGTTAGGAACAGTTTTTATCAATTACGGGTCATCTCCAAACTTAAATCGTTTTTGTCTTTTCAAGATTTGGAGCAGGTTATTCATGCTTTTATTACCTCACGTTTAGATTACTGTAATTCACTGTACTCAGGACTTCCTCAGTCATCGCTTTCCAGTTGGTACAAAATGCAGCTGCAAGGTTGCGGACTGGGGCAAAGAAATATGACCATGTCACTCCAATTTTAGCTTCACTGGCTTCCGGTCCATTTTAGAGTTCAGTTTAAGATTCTGTTGTTTGTTTTTAAAGCTCTTAACAATCAAGCTCCATCTTATCTTAAAGACCGTATGCCTTTGTCATCTACCAGACTTTTAAGATCCACTGACAGGGCTCTTTTATCTGTTCCTCGTTCCCGTTTGAAAACTAAGGGTGACAGAGCCTTTTCAGTCACTGCCCCCCGTCTGTGGAACCATTTGCCTCTAGACTGCCGCCTTGCACCTTGCATTACCATTTTTAAATCGAGGTTGAAAACGTATCTTTTCTCCTTAGCATTTTAATTTCACTTCATTGTTGTGTTATTGTCTGTCTTGTTTGCTTCTTTTCTGTGTTTCCTTTTTCTCTTTTAATTTTATTTTACATTGTTAAGCACTTTGGATAGCTTTGCTATGTTGAAATGTGCTATATAAATAAAATTTACTTACTTGCTTACTTTGTTTGCTGAACCTCCAATTGCTCCCTCCTGATCATGACGTTCTTTTTCTGAATGGCCTGGTCTCGTAGCAACGTGCTGCATGTATCATGTGAAGGCCTCAGTGTTCTCTGTGATGTTAGCAAAGGTCTTCATTTTGCTAGCTTTTAAACAGACCAGCAATTGTTTGATCTATAAAATATTGAAAACATATATTGTTTTCCTACTGTATAGTTCAATGTACACCACACATTCACAAGGGAAAGAACATTTAGAGAAAACTACTGAAATATATGAAGTTATGAATAAATAATACTAAATAAATAATCAATATAAATTCATTTATCAGCTAATAAAATTAAAAATGTATTATTGTTGTTGTTGTTTTGATGTTTTTTAAATAATATAAATGGTTACTATATAATTAAATATATCCATAATATTACATTTCTATAAATTAATCAGTGAACATTTTATTTGAATAATTTAGTTTTTATTTCCCAGAAATATTACTATTACTACTACAAATAATAACAATAATAATATTAATAATAATAACAATATTAATAATAATAAGAGTTTTGTATTTTATAAAATTATTTATAACAAAATACATTCATTAAATGCAAATGTCCAGTATACATTGTATTTGCCTTGTACTGTACGTTTAAACAGACAGTGAGAAAAAAGACTTGTTACATTTTGAGCAGATAAGCAAAACTTTTAGTCAAGATTGATAATATACTCAAATTTTCAAATATAACTTCACCTTTAGATTCTTAGACTGATAGAGTGGAAAGGAAGGGCAGTTGACCCTTTGCAGGGAGTTTGACTGACAGGCAATCTGGCCAATCATAACACTGAATTTTTGTCTGACAAACAAACTAGACAGGAGAGTAGATTAACGTTGGTGGACTAGAACTTGAAAAATCATGCATATTGATGTCTTTACGTGGTTGAAACAAGATACCTTCTGATGTTCATTCATGTTTATTTCGTGCCATAACTAGTATAGTGTAAGAGATTATCGCTTCACCTGCTTCTTGAACTGAGGCGCTACAGCGATCTGTCACGACACATTAAAGAGCCACAAAACGGTATTTATTGTTTGAATTTCTTAAAAAATTACAAAATTTGAAAGCTGAAACTTTGTTTCATACCAAAAGTAACCTTCTGTGTCTTGTCTGTCAGCAGTAAGTGTCAGTTTTCTCATTGCTCTGCCATGTATTTTTCATTGCGTGAGAACATGACGTTTGGTGTGAGAGTGCCATGGCTTGTTGGACATAGCTACAGTAAAAAAGGGGGGGTGGGTCATTGTG